TAACATTATGTTGGAAGACAGAAATATATGGTTACTCCTAGCCCAAAAATCTATGGCTGGAGATTGGTGGGAATGTGGATTCTATCTGCTCATGGGTACCCTTTGCTTTTCAAGGATAAGAAAGGGGTCATGGCATGGAATCTCTGAATCCCAGAGAGAACTCATTACTAAGGTTAGGATCCAGTGCGGTAAGATGGTGGAAGTATTGTAATGGAAGGACAAGTCTAGAAGCAGAAGTTTATTACCTCAGTGGGGATCAATAAGGAAGCAAATGTATCCCCAGGTTACACTGAACCTTCTATACAGCTCAGTCTCAGATGTTGAAGCTTCACATTTTAGTGAGTATCCTTTCTAGGATTAATAGGGAAGCATGGACCACAGAGCCAATGTGAATGCCTAGTGCCGTTTCCCGAAGATCCAAGGATTTTGTGAGATGAATCCCCTGATCATTCCAGATGGGGCAAGGAAAGCAATGTATTAATCAGCTTTTCCTGTAGTGGAAGAGAGTTTGGTTCAGGTGTGGCAGACTGGCTGGTGGGTTCACTGGCAGCCCCCGACAGTTAGCTTGAGTCCGAAGGGCTCAGGCTCCCATTGGTGGGGACAGTTTCCCTTCTCCACCAGTCAGGGGAAGGCAGAAAGAAAGCAGCCCCAACCTGACCTGGGGCGAGGCGAGACTGAGGACCTGAAAGGGAACTAACCTCATCGAGCTCCCTGATTGATCCATTCACAATCTGGGGCAGAGCCTCCAGAAGGAATAAAGCCAACATGTCCAGCACATGGTGTGGGCTTTGACAAGAGATGATTTAGAGGGCTGATAAAGAGCTGGTGTAGCTTACCAGTGGGGCAGAGCAGTTGCCCAAAAAGCTCCCGCAAGACGTCTTCACTGGACAGGAGCAGCAAGTGGCTGCATCCTAGCCCTGCCATGGAGAGAGCCACAATGACAGTGCACAGAATGGTGCACAGGGCTGGAGACCTGGTGCATGGAGTCTGGCAGCGGACGGGTCCGTGGCAGGTGCATGAGGCAGCGCAGGTCTCCAACCTGGTTGTACTCAACCTGGCGAGATGTGAGCAGTGGGGTACCCCAGGGCTCGGTCCTCAGGCCCGCACTGTTTAACATTTTCATCAGCGACTTGGACGAGGGTGTGGAAAGCACGCTGTCCAAGTTTGCTGATGACATTAAGATGTGGGGCGAGGTGAACACACTTGAAGGGAGAGAGAGGCTGCAACTAGATTTAGACAGACTACAAAAGTGGGCAGACTAGAATAGGATGGGGTTCAACGTAGACAAATGCAGGGTGCTGCACCTTGGGAGAAGGAATCCACAGCATACATACGTGCTGGGGAGTTCCCTTCTTGAAAGCACAGAGGAGGAAAGGGATCTTGAAGTCATTATTGATTCCAAGATAAACATGAGGGGAAATGAGCATGGGTTCGTAGCAGGTAGGTCATGCCTGACTAATCTAGTCTCTTTTTATGACCAGGTTACAAAACACCTGGATGCAGGAGTAGGGGTAGACATCGTTTACTTAGACTTCAGGAAGGCTTTCGATACGGTATCCCACCCCATACTGGTGAACAAGTTAAGAGGCTGTGACTTGGATGACTACACAGTCCGGTGGGTGGCGAATTGG